AAAGGTCTTTTCACGTGAGGTCTAAAACAATTAAATTAGTGTGAAACAAATAAAGCACTCACACAAGTATTATGAGCTTTAAGAGAGGTCAACATACTGATAAAATCTCACATTACTTGTGAAGGTGGAGTTCACATTTTCAAGAAGAAAAAATCATGAATACCTGAGCTATTCATGAATTGGGCATAACAAAGGTAAGAAAATATTTCACTTTGACTTGTACAAGTAAATAATATATTTAATGTAATACAAATATTGTTCCTCCTTTTTCTATGGATTAACTTTCATAATTTCTTATCTTAAGAAATAATAAATACTTGAAGACAATCTTATTTCCTCAACCTGCAAGATATTTCAAATTGGTTGTCTTCTTAGAAATTTTAACCTTTTGGTTCAAATTTAAATATTACTACTTATCCATATTTGTCCTAAAAAGAGGTAAGCCATAGTCCTTCGCACTGTTAGTGTCCATAAATATTTTTTTAAGCATCAAACACATTGCTACACATATAAAGAAGCATACAAATCCACATTCACTTATCATTTCAGAAAGACGGATTAGTATTTTGATCTAAGATGTTGAACACCGATAGTAAATTCAAAACCCTACTTTTCTCCTCAAGCTTAAAGATGAAATGATTAATAAAATAATTAATAGGTCACTTGTGTAAGATAAATTTCCATACATTTGCCATCGCTTTTGAAGTTCGAGGTGTAAGTCTGATCACTTCAAGGTTCCAAAATAGTGAAAATGAATTCTAGGTAATTATTGATTACAGAGCTATTGGACTTCAGAAAATATGTATTCTCACATAAATAACAGTTACAAATAGATTTGTCACAAAGATTAAGGCCTTGTTTGAGCCATATTATTTGAAAAAAATACATTTTTCAGCAATAATTTGATATCATTTTAACTATATATTCTTTAATAAAATAATATTACACGTAAATCCAAAACATTTCCTTCTTGTTTAATCATACATTTCCCATCAATATGCTATTTAAAAATGCATTTTTATTCCAATAATGTGGCTCAAATAAGGGCTAAGCATAAAATGCAATTCACCCAAGGTTAATTGTCAATCCCAAGATTCAGGCCCTTCAGAGGACACAGACATAAAGATGCACCAATTAACACCCTATATTATTTGAATTAATCTATTTGTACCAAGGGGGGTTTACCAAAGCGTTTACCCCCCTCTCACAAACACGCGGGTCCCTCGTGTATTTAATAATGTAGAGTCGTGGTCCCCACCTTGATGATGTGAGTAGGGTGTAAACAATTAGGTAAATCATTATGTACGTCTAGCATGATTCATATTATTTTCCTACCAGCAACCCTTCCTTTTATGAGAATACAAAATACAACCAGCAATTATTATTATTATTAATTTTTTTTTTTTCATTTGATGAATTTGTATTCAAACTAAAGCTAGAATTTACCTCCAGCATGATCAACTATATAAAATCTCTATTGATAAAACCCAATATCTTAAGATTTCATCATATTGCACATTAGATAAGAAAGGTTTTTTTTTTTTTTTTTTAATTGTCATATCTGAATTTATATATTCGAGAATTGGTGGATTCCGCAGCTACTCTTGTTTCTTACCAAGTTATATGAGAAAACTTAGTGCTCTAAATCTCTTTTTGATATTTTATAACTTACGTATGGTCGAATCAATATGGATGACCCTCTAATTTTCTTCTGACTATTTACCACTAATCAGTTTTCATGATATTCTTATGATGCGTGTTGTTTCAAAGTACTGAACATAAATTTTTAATCCTGTAACTTGAAATAACTACTTACCCAATTGAAGAATGAAGAAGATACACACATATCTAACAACACGACTTTAAAATGTTAGAAAAAATGGGTGATTTGTGTGTAGGTATTTATCAATTATCAAATATCACATATTAAATAACATAAACATAAGAACTCATCAATAATGTAAACATAAAATATAAGTAGAGATTTAGAAAGCAAGCATCGGGGAATTACGTCGAAAATGCTGTCCTAAAATTGTGCTGTCCCTCTGTCCTACGGGTTCTTTTGGCACTACATGACTTCAAAATAAAAAACTCATGTGGCTTACAACTGGTTCTCCTTCTATGTACACTACCATAAAAGGTAAAGAACGAAACTTTATTAAGTTGTCAAAATTGTAGAATATTGTATGAAATATAGAGGAAGTATTTTTGTTGTATCTCAAATTATGTTTTTATCTTATCACTTAACCAATGAAATTTCATGTTCTTTTATAGTGTAAAAGTTTAACCCCACCATAATGAAAATTAATTAATTAAAAAGAGGTTACATTTAATATAATGATAGTTTAATTTGATATTAAATCCGAAATTAAAATCAACACTAAAATTAAAAGATATTAATTTGAAATATAAAACTTACAATCTTTTATATAACAACAAAACGCAGCTGGCAATTCCTTTCACTTGATAGTTTGAGGGTTAAAAATTCAAATGGTCATTAAACTTTGTATAATATTTGTCATTTGGCCATTAAACTTTAAAGTTTTTTGAATGGTCATCGAACTTGTCAAATGGTTATCCCATTGACATTTTTTGAATGGCTATTGAACTTATCAAATCTTTTCTTTTTCTTTTTTAATGATTCAAGTGTTCGAGTTTCGCTCGACTAATCTAGAGGAGTTCCAGCTTTCTCCCCTGGTTCACTACCCTGTTAAATCTGGATGCGATTACAACGTATACATACTTGGACCAAACATTCGGGATGCGGTTCTCCTCCCTGTGGACCTTCCTTTATGACGTACAAACAGAACCGCTGGAGGGGCGACAAAACACATCATAATTTTGCTTTAACAGGACATTTGTCTTCCAATATAAATGTTGCCTTCCAGTTACCGCTAAGATTCCAACCTCCAATGTTTAGTAGAGAATCCTCATGCTTTACCATTGCGCTACGCCCGTGGGGCAACCTATCAAATCTTTATCCCACTGACCATTAAACTTTAAGTTTTTCGAATGATCACTTATTAATCGTATCTTATTGGACATTAAACTTTAAAAGTTTTTCGAATGATCAGCGAACTTATCAAATCATTATCCCATTCATCACTCAATAATTCACTATCAAAAAATTCAATGATTTGCTGACAAGGCAAACAGAAACACTAACATGACACATCATCATAATCATTATTATTATTAGTTGATGACAAATCAACCAAAAGCATACTTCTTCATATCAAAAGCACTCATAAGAATGTGATTTTATTTTAACCTTTACCTGCTTTCCTTTTTTTTTCTTTTTTTTTTTTATATATGTATTTGTATTTAGTATTATTTTTTTACTCCATTAATTCACATATTTTATAATCGTTTGCCTATCAGGAGGGCCATTGAATTTTGTAATAATATTGAGTGATGGACAAGATTGTGATTTAATATGTTTGGTGATCATCCAAAAAAATTATAAAGTTAATGGCCAATGGAATATCAATTTGATAAGTTCAATGACCATCTGAAATATTTTTAAAATTTAATAGTTAATGAGATAATAATTTAATAAGTTCAATGATCATTGAAAAACTTTTCAAATTAATGATCAATAAAAATATGAGCTCTGCTATATGGACCGAATCACAGAGCCCCCTATTGGTCGAGTGTCTGCAGCATACATGGCCATGTCCAAAAAAAATAATTCAAAAAATATTGCACAAAGTCAATGTTCTTTTGAATTTTTTAACCAATAGTTGGGGACTCATTCATTGCTGATGTGGCCAGCCCCTTATTGGACAACTATGTTGACGCTCTTTGAGTTTTTCAATGAAACTTTAATGGCCATTAACTTGAGAAGTACTTTGTGATCTTTGAGTTTTGCTGTTCATCCAGGGAGAGATGGACCCTGTCATTCCAGGGGCCCAGCTAATAGAGGGCGCATGATGTGACAGGGCCCTAGCAAAACTTTTGATCTTAAGCCTTCCTGATTTTACTTCCTTTTATTTTTAAGTCAAAAGTTATTTATTTTGAAAGAAATTGTAGTTTTATTGTTAATTTACTTCCCAACTTTCACTTTTAATCTATAATAATAAATTGAGTAAATATATTCTCACTACAAATTTTGTTAAATACATCACATTTTAATTACAATGAATATCGTTAATCTTTTCTTATTTTTACATTTATCTTTTCAACCCAATTTTTTTAATTTTTTTATTTTATCACCAACCCTCTATTAATTTTCACATTTTGTCTATATCGACGATTTTTATCCAAAATGTTTGTGAAGAGCCAAGAATATTTATCTCTCGTATTATTAAATAATCGAAATAAGTAATTAATACAAAGTTAAACACAATATTTTCCCATCTTTTCAATGCACGTGAATAGAATTTTTGGATGAAAATCGTGATTACAGTTAAAATATGTTAATTAATTGACTGTCAAGAATGACAATGCGACTAGAAAAACATTGAGAACATAGGAGCAAAAGAAAGCAAATATTGGAAATCTTTCTTGCAATTAAAATGTAGTGCAAATATAAAAAATTGTTGTGTGAGTATAATTACCCTAATAAATTATTTACTCATTAAGCTAGGCATACTTGCTTAACAAAGTTCCAAAAGCATATGTAGATACTTAATTTTGTTCCCCTTCTGTCATGAGGTGAAAGCTTAAGCTGAATTTAGCTTCTTCACGGGGGCTTCCAATTTGACTAAATAAATCCTTTCCCCTCTTAATCAGTACATAATTGGTAAGCGTTTCTTTACCAATTAGGGGTTCCTCTAGGCTAGAATGGTACATTTAGGACGTAGACCAATATTGAGCGTTAAGTAATTGCTCAATATTATTTTTGATTTTACGATAGTTTACAAGGACCATGTACTCTATACTAGTTGGGGTAAGGGTGCATCCACAGACTTACTAAGACATAACTATAGCATGTTTTGAAGTAATGAAAACAATGCAATAAACAAAACCACTACCATCGACATTTTACTAATATTACATATTCGAAGTAACACCAATATTTGTCATTTTAATTTGATAGGTCTTTTGCATTCATTGTTCATATATTAAAACGAATTTAGCTAGACAACATTAAGGAAGGAAAAGAAGTTATAATATTATTTATTATATTGTCCAATCATGTCAATACTACTTATGAAACTTACTTTCGATGTCGGTTTTAGAAATTGTGTTCTCAATTAATGAGGGGATTTCTTCCATCACGAGAATCAACTATTTGAGCTTTCTTCATGCTCCAAGCTCTCAAACTCGATATTTTAACACTTTTTGTCCCATAATTAAATGCATAGAGGTGGGATTTTTTTATCAATGGCCAATTCAGGATAAACTCTAGCAGTGATGCAAGCCTTTCCTTCACCACCAAAACTCTCTACAATGGAATGGTCAATCTGCACAAGCATAAAGCATAAATGAATCCAATTTGACATTGCCAAAAAATAATGGTTTTCACGGGAAATTTTGCAGACACACAGATTCTGGTTTTTGGGATCATCGTCTCTTGGAATACCAATACTTTTTTCTGACATTTTGCTCTCCAATCTTTAGTATTTTTAACAAAAAAAAGTTCATTTTGAACCGTTTATGTCCAGAGAACAGACATTACAAGTAAGACTTCTACAAGAGGCACTTACCAAGGTTCTTAATGAGATTTTCTGTGTAGGATCTACAACAAGAAGTGCCCCAAAGATATTTTTGCCAACATCTCTTTTCTGAGAGGACCTGCACGCAAATATTAGAGCTCAAAAATTTAGAGAGGGACATACAGGCAAGATTCATTTTTTCATGAAAGACGAGAAACATTACAGTTACACACATCACACGTGCCCTATATTTCCATATATGGTCGACGGCACTTTTGTTTATTTAAATTTAAAGCCTCACCTGCTTTGATCACTGCACATTAGGACAGCAAACTTGTCGTCGACTTTGAATATCCGAAAGAAGATGGCAGTTTGTTCGGTTAGGTCCTCTGAGGCCAAGACTAACAAACCAAATGGCCCTACGACCCCTCTTACGGAAGAATTCTTTTGAGTACAAAGTTGTTGGGGATCAACTGATTTTGTATCCATCAACTCGATCTGAACTTCTAAATTTGGCAATTTGAATGAAACTTCTATATCAGCCTGTGATAGGAAGTATCAAATCTAGTTCTAAAAAATATTAATAAAGCAGAGAACTGAACTGCAAAGACTTTTCTGATAGGATAACATGTAACTGTAAATGAACTAATCATTATCCTAACTATAAAGGAATTAATATTAGAGAATCCGGAAAATATTATGACAATCTTTCTATATCTATAACATGAGGCATTCAAGAAGTCGATAAGAGAATTCAAGAAAGAGGATTAGAGCAGATACCTGTGAAGCTTTGACCCCTGCAATTTTAAACACAGTTCCACCCTTTAATTCTTTATTCTGTAGAGAGACTTCTTTTTCCCGTAGTTTCTCGAGTTCTTTGATTGGCCATTGTACTAACTGCTTCCCTGTCTTGTCTAGCAATATGGTTCTTGGAATTGACTGCCAAAAAATTCCAAGAATCAGGAGGTTGTCGAAACATGTCAATCGGCACTATAATCAGTAGTCAGTTAGTTTGGAACATTTAGAACCAATCCCGCTGAACTGTCAATATTAATCAATTAACCAGTAATTACCTATGTTTTAAACTTTACTATTAAAATTTGAATCCCGAAGCGTTCGTATGCTCTAACACTATATTATACGGATAATAAAGCATCTTCCTTCTTCCCTCAAATAATTTACATAGTGTAAAAGTGAAGAAGCAATTAAATTGACAGAAACGAAGAAAATGTAGGAAGAAAAAGATTACCTGAATTCCAGACCATCCTTTGTTGATGTTATCTGCCTCCGTTACCCATCCCCACAATATCCTTCTCTTTTTATCACTGTCATAAAATGATTTGGAAGCATAGAACAAACCATAATCATATCTAAGTTGCACATTACTATCCATGAAATCAACATCAGCAGTATAATAATCCATTTTCGAATCATAATTTCCTATTACATAGTAGTCGTGATCACCAAAACTCGCTTTGAGGACGTGTTTAGTATCTCGACTGTTGAAAGATGGGTCGAGCCCATTTTTACCACGACTACTAACAGGATAAAAATCAGGACACTCCCACATTCCTGTTCTGTTCGATGAATGAAGAGGGTACTGACTCCTAGTCCAGCTAACAAAATCTTTACTTCTATAAAGAATAGCAGTTCCATGGCCATTAATTTGGCTTCCTATAATTACACGCCATATTTTATCCGATCCCTGCCACGCAGTTGTAGGATCTCGATACATCTTTGGGTCTATGCCATTAACTGGAGTCATCAGTGGATTACGACCCGATTTTACCCATTCTCTAAGCAGTGGATCAGATATATTTTTAGGAACAGCCAGATTTTGAACCTGGTGGTTTTCAAAGTTATCCCCAGTGTATAGAATGACAGGTTTTCCTACTCCAGGAAGAATTGTAGCAGAACCAGACCAGCAGCCACCAATGTCATAAGGCTCGGTTGGATTAATAGCATTATCGAGATGCATCCAATCAATAAGATTATATGATACAGAATGTGCCCATGAAATGTTACCCCATACTGCAGCATAGGGATTGTACTGATAGAACAGATGGTAAACGCCCTTATAGTACATTGGTCCTGTATGATATAATAGTGTATCAATATATAAATCAAAACAATAATATGGAAAAAGAATTAAAAAAATCACACAAATAAGTTCATATAATATTCTGTATTGGGGGTTAGCATTATGAATCGACCCCGTTTAAGTTTGCACTAGTAGATAAGAATGTTTTTCTAGTTGTTATACGTGGGGATTGAGGTACTTGGAACATTTCCAATGGTGGTGTAAAATTGGATTAAATTCGTATCTCTAAAATCACTTTTGCATCGTCATTTACAGCCCAATGATTCTAAATCCAAATTTTGCCCCAATGGAAAGATCTAAATCCAATTTTTGCCAGTCGTGGATGTACATTTTCTGCTGGAAATTGCAATTGCATCTCCTTTGCATCTCTCCATAGAAGAGGTTTTCGCCACTTTGAAGATCTAAATCTCTATTTTAAACCACCATTGTAAGAGGACGTTAACTACTTGTAATCTCCTATATCTGTTGTAGATTCATCATCTCTGTCCATAGCCTAATATATTTGTATATTTGGTAATGTATGTACAATAGTAGACAATACTATGAAGAAAAAGAAACTAATATCTTGTCCAACGACTAGTAAGCTCTAAAACTACAAACCCAAACATGAACTCAGAAATAAGTGTGCTTTATATTCTTCATCTTCATTTCTTCTCCGTCAAAATCCATCACAATATCGGGGTTTGCTCGTACTCTACATGGTAATTAACATTGAAAAACATTGTACGTTGAACTTAAAAAAAGACGTAAACCTTGTCTCTGAGACAAGTAATTACTATAATATAGGAAATATAAGATTAGACGTAATTCTGAGTCTCTAGCCTTACAACTTGTTACTATTTTATGACATGTACGGTTTCCTTGTTTCTTCATATTAGAGTCATATAAACACGTTCTTAAGGTAGTTTAATGCGATAGATAAGCAGAAATTCAAACAAAGGGGAAATTTCACTATAGGTCATGCAAGGACCACATCCCTATGAACAAATATCACATGATTGCAGCGAAAACTAGAACATGAAAGTAACAGATATGCCACTATCGACGACAAAACTGAGCTTTATTTTTAATAAATTTATTAATGACTACAAAACTTTTTTAGCCATTTCAATAGACTTTTACATTTACTAACTGATATTAACAAGATAAGGGGAAAAAACGCCATCAGAAGGTAGACAAGAGAGATACTTTACCATTTGGATCTTCAAGTTCATTGATAAGCCATCATTATTTCAGAAAAATGGAAGAAACAAGAAAATCAATTAGTTTCAGAAATATAAATATACATATTAGTGACAAAAAAATACCCAACAAAATATACCATTCATCCAGTTTTTGAGAGGTTGGAAATGGTATGCAGTCCTGTAAGGCTGAGAAGCTCCAGCTTTATTTCCATGGACAAACAACATAATGTGCAGCAAAAATATCCAATACACCGATCTCTTCATTTTTAGTTTTACCTTACAGTGGAATGGATATGAGGGATCCTGGAAACTTACACATAAGGCTCTTATATTTATAGAGAGCAGTAGAGCATATCTGGAACAAAAAGTTAATTTTGAAACAACTTCTTGCTTGAAAAGTGTTTATAAAACGTATACGGAAATTAATGGTGGATGGCAGGACCCAAAATTATTTATAAATTAGTACTTAGTCAAACATGCTCTTACTTTTAAATTTCTTCAGTTAAAAAATTATTTAATTTTAAAGCATACTTAATATACTTTCTTATCACGCACAAAATTGCAAAATTACACTATCAAAATTTTTGTTTTAGATGAAATGCTTGTCTCTAAGTCTCGATGCCACTAAATTATTAAAAAAAGAAAGAGAGAGCTGCAATTTTCATTTATCATTCTTATATATCTATAATACTCTAAATTTATCTCTATTAAACTTTTAAAAAGTACTATATTCATTCCCATTAAATTTCAATAGTACACTTATTAAATTCATTTATTTAAACCCTTTACACCCACAAAATTTAACCAAGAACAAATTATTTATAAAAAGACAAAAGAATATCATTAGTTACCATTTTTGTATTAAGATACATGTACAACCAGCAAATGATTTATTATAGACATCAAAGTTGTGTGTTAATGTATTTGACATCTACAGCATACTGTCAAATAGAGTTATTGAAACAACACAAAAATAAAAGATAATTCTTACATTTCCAAAGTCTTCTTCATATATTATTATGTATATATGTAATTGCTATAATGATATCTCTTTCATTGTTTGTTTTGACATTAATTGGAGAACATATTTTATAAATATTAGGATTTTAATTAAACGTGAATTTTAAAAGAATATAAAATGTTCAAAAGCATTTAATGAGGATAAATATTAATGGATAAATTTAGAGTCATAGATTTTAATTGATTTTATTCTTATCCATTTAAATAAGTTACATAAGATTAAAAATATAATATTAAAAAATTAAAAGTAAATAGATACATAAGATGGTGGATGACAATAACACCTCACTAAAAAATTGTCCTAAACAAAAAGAAAATTTATCTTCTATAGAGAAGGGGAGAACTGCTTTTTTTACATCGCTATTAACATGTTTTTATACAAATTGATGAGGTGACGATAAATTAAATTAAAACTGTTAAAATCTCTTCACAATTTAAACGATGTGCTTGTGTAATGTGGGATAATAGCAAAATAAAAGGGAAGGATTATTTTTTATTTATTTATTTTAAGTAGTGTTGTAGTTGGAATCTTTCATTATACAGGTGTTCATACATGTAATGATGACATGATTACAACTTGAAGAAACCTCCACAACATTATCTTCAACAGTCAACTTGCTTCTCTCTTTTTTTCATTTTTCATTTTTCTTTTTTACTAAAAATAAGAAAAATAATTATTTAAACATATTTGAAACTAAAAAATTACTTAATAGTGAGATTATTTTTCTAGACTTGGTCAAATATAATTGTCATTTTATTATTATTATTATTATTATTTTTTGAAAGGATAATTTTGTCGCATTTGAGATGTCTCAACTACCAGGAAAGTTCACTTTCAAAATGAAAATTCTAAATATGATTCTGGACCACTCTGACAAATTTTCACGAGTTCAAGTTTACCAATTCAATACTAAAAAAAAATAATTTCCTCTCTATGATTCTTGTCCATCCAATAACAAAATTTTGCAACTTGTTATATGATTTTTGCCCATCCAAAACTATGAATTTTCCCTCTGCATGTCATTCTGTTCATCCAATGACAAATTTTCACAAGTTTTAGATGTGATTTTTGTCCGATCTATAACAGGCGTCCACCCTGTCAACACTATTTTTCATTTCAATATTCTTGACTATCCATTGACAAAATTTCACAAGTTTTAGATATGATTCTTCTGTCCAATAATAGATGTCCAACTCAGTCAACACTACAAAATTTCCTCCATTGTAATTTTGAGTCAATTTTTGCAACAAATTCCAGTGCCCAAAATTATGTTCTTTGAATTTATATATAGTCCAAATTGAATATATACATAGTCCAAATTGTGGTCAAAATTAGGTTTATTACATGCATAATGCAATTCATATCCACATTTTGTGGGGGGAGGGGGTTTGAATTCCACCATCATTCACAACCTATAAAGTTACATAAACTTTTCCAATAAAATTGTGAGTTACTACCTAGAACATTTTCTTTTTTCCTTTATGTGATCTGTCACTGATCTCTATTGACCATTTCCATCCAAAAATTTCATATACTTTTTATGCGCCAAAAAAAAAAAAGTAAAAATTTCAAAATATTATTTCTTCAAACTCAGATAACCAAAAACTAGATATAAATTCTTTTGATAGTAAGGTAACTTTAAAAAAAAAAAAAGAATTATTAAAAAAATGTTTGGAGTTGAAAAATTACTCAAAAATAACATTACCTTTTTTTAGGTTGGTTCAAGAATAGTCATATAGCATATTTTGAGATGTCTCCTGTAAAATTCTAGAAAGAAATTTTTAGATTGAATGAGTCATACGACTTGTCCGAACATCGACACCTTTGAACAAGTTGTAATGATTTTTGTCCACAAATTTCCACCCCGCCTTTACAACAAAAATTTCCTCTTGACCATATTCCACGATCAATACTTGATAAATCAAAAGAGCAAGAAATAAAATAAATAAAAATAAAATAAAATAGTCAGACGTAATATTTAAGTTAGTTTTGATATTTAGCGACTCCATTTTTTACTAAGAATACATTTTGGAATAATAAATTAAAGGAGAATATATAGTTAAAAAATATGATAAACTTTGGATTTGCATGTAGTATTATTTTATTTAAAAATGTGCAGTTGAAAAGAAGAGAGTGAAAATTGTATTTTGGAAATAATAAGGATCAAACAAGGCTTAGTTGAAAACTTAGTTGACGGGGTTTTAGATTCTTGTATTTCTAGTAAATTTTAAATAAAATTTGAATAATGTATCTAGTACAAGTGGTACTAAAATACCAGTTTATGTGATATTATGAGATAAATTCAATTAAAAATAAAAATATCGTTTAATGACACTTAATATTACTTAAATTAGTATTATAACATCAATGATCTTAAATAGTATTACTCGTGAATTACAATAGTAGTCAAAGTAAGATCTAATACACGAGTTATCTTAGAGCAATATTTGTGAAGAAAATAATTGGTGTAAATGATAGGTTACTAAAATTCAAACAGTACCAATCGCATATTCTGCCGATAATTTTTAAACCAAACTAATACAAATTACTGCATTAGACCCTATTAATATTCATGTAAAGGGTAAACTAGTAAGAGCAGTGGTCGGGATATATGCATATCCTAGAAGTTGACACTTGTTACTATCAGTTGCTTGACAAGTATTGAGTTCTATTTAAAAGTGTTAGTTTTTCGCGACAAGTAATTGCTATGATAGGAAATATAAGATTGAACCATGCTTGATGTACAATTTTAGTTGACAATATTATTGACAACATGGCATGTTGTCTAGGGTTTGATTGAAGGGAGGGCCCATGTCCAGTAAAAGTCCCAAAAAAATGTTGAAATATTTTAATTTTAGTTCATTAGCTCACCAACCATTAACCAACCCACCACAATTTGTAAAATCAATATCTTATTTTATACTAGGCCCAAAGATTTGTTTTAGAGTCCAACAGCCCATTACCCAATTACACAACAAATATCCTCTTCATTCCTTCCACCATTCCCGTCACTCAGTTGCAAAATTTGAAAAACAAAAATTCCCAAATCTTTGAATAATCCTAATGCCTAATCTGTCTATTATTTTTCCTAACTACCATCTTACTGGAGAGCCATCGATCCCAAACAAGGAAGTACCTATGAAGAAGAGTTTCAGTTCGGCTAGTAACTACTTATTCCGAACCACATTTTCAGCTAGCAATTCGTTTTCTTCGATTATTGGTTAGTAATTGCGTTCTTTTTAAATACTTATATCAAAATAACTTCTTCTTCTTTTTTTCTTTTTTTTCATTCATTGAGTTTCTTAAACTTTGAGGGTTAAATTATAAATTTATAACATATTCTGATATTCTAATCTTTTGCTGTGTAACGTGTTCGATGATTTTTTAATTATGTTATGTTTATGATTTTATACATTATATTTATGATTTCTGATTGTTGCAAACTTTCAATTTCCAATGAATTTTCTGTTTGAATTTGTTTATAGGCATTTGACTAGTTTGTTTTTAAAGTATCAAAACAAGCTTAACAATTTATCTAATTACTCGTCCACGTTGTCGGTAACAAACTATGTAAACACTAAGTAGGTATTTTGTACATTAAATTTCTAAATCCCCCCCCCCCCCCCCCCCGGGGCCCCCCCCCCCCCCCCCCCCCCCCCCCCCCCCCCCCCCCGGGGCCCCCCCCCCCCCCCCCCCCCCCCCCCCCCCCCCCCCCCGGGGCCCTTCAACTAATAATTTTTTGACATATCAACAATGTCATTCAACATTGTACAAATAGCATAATTATATAAAATGAACTATACGTTGTTCTAAGCCTCTAGCCTTGCTCCTAGTTACTATTTCATGACATGTACAGTTTCCTTGCTAATCCATATTAAAGCACATAAAAAAACATTCTTAAGGTAGTTTAGGAGATAGATGATAAGCAGAAAATTAAACAAATGGAAAATTGCACCCCAGTCCAGATCCAATATTAAGGGAAAAAAAAATGTTTGATTTTAATAAAGTCCAGTTGAAAATAATTAGAGCCCTTCCAAAACAAATGAACCACTAATTAAAAGCCCAAATTCCCTGATCGAAAAAGAAGTCACGCAACAGTCTTGTTCAACCATTCCCAAACTCCCTTGATCTATTTCTGACTTCTGCTTGTAGAGAGAGAGGTTTGAAATTTATTCCATTCCNGTACAACAATTTACATAAATCAACAACAAAACATGATAAAGATAACAATATCAAATAACTCTGGTAATCATTATTAATTGAACTTCAAAATGTAATAATATCCGTACAAAATTCAAATCCGAAATTCTAAAGCAATTAAAAATCTAATACATTTAAAAATAAAAACAAACTACAAATTCAACAGTGAGTAAAA